AATGCTAGCCACTGTAGATGAAGAAAACAAGGCATAAGCAATATAAAGAGCAGCCTCAGAAAAAGTCAGAAGCTACATCAGCTGACATTAAGACTGAACTGTTTGCAGTCAAACTGTTTGGTGGGCAATGCAATATTTTAAAAAAGAAATTTGTGGTCATATGTTGTTTTGTGTTTATGAGCTCTAAAGCAGAAGCCAAATGGCTAAACGGAGGAGTACTCATTTATAAATGTTCTTTGTTTATGAGCTTTGCTGTTTTTTTATGGAAACTTGGTTCCCACACTGAAAAAAAGACATCCATAAGTCAGAATTTGGGGTTGTTATTAAAATTTCAAGTGAATAACTTGAAATTAGGATTAGCGTTACTTACTGACTTGAAATGCCAAGAAAATAACTCAAGATTAACCCCCATAATATCCTTTGAAATTCTGTGTTATTAGGTTATTATTTGAGAAAATAAAACAACATTTTAACTTATGGAAAGCAAAATATAGTCTCATTTCTTTTGAGGACTTGGTAGTTATCTTATGCGTAACAGACACTTCATTTCATAGCTATGGCACACAGCTGGAATCCTTTATAAGCGTATGAACTATTGAGGATATCCACACATTTTTTAAGCACTTGTCCAGCTTTTGGGCGGCAGGAGGCTGGAGCCTGTCACTGACACCCACTCCTGAAAGGCGGGGTACACACCAAAAATATGATGCATGATATTAGATAATGTAAAAGAAAAATAGAAAATAAAAATTACATAGCTTGTGTTTAATATGCAACACTGGGCACATTTATTTGTACATACTTAATTCATACTTTTTAACACTTTTTGACTTACACAGCTAAAACTTACAACAGGTGTTACATGTGTTTTTAAAATATTGACTTTCTGTCTTTAGTCTGAGGATGAACCTTGAGGTGCTATTTTTCCTGCTGCTAGTAGCCTTAAGCAGCTCCTATGATTTGCATCAAGAGAGATGGAAAAACAACCAGTCGTGCAGGTCAGCCTGTCATGTGTTCACGGTTTGAACAGAAAGCGTGACATACCAAACAAGGCTGTTCCTCCACAGGAGGTTCAATAAGTGAAACATGACTTGTTTGAATGACTGGCTGTTGGGGAAAAAAAGCAGAGGAAGGCATGAAGTCACCTGCTCTGGGCCAGACATGCCATAAGACGCCGTGTGGAACATGCAGTCAACCCCTTCACACACTTTATACAGGGAAGAATAATCTCGAATGTCACTCTGTAAGAAAGTAGAACAAGACAATCAGATAATTAGTTATAACTCTGAGGACACAAAAGATGCCTAATCAGATTCTTCTGGGAGGATGAAGGTAGGCTTGTACTGTTGATTTGCTTGAAATGTACAACAGCAAAACATTAACACCCAGTGCTTTTCATGTAAAATGGTCAATATCTAACCCCTGAAAGGACAGTTATAATTAAGGTAAGTGTGCCAAGAGGAGTACAGGTGAAACCCGAATCATGCTTCCACCCTCTTTGACCCAGGCAGCAGCTGGTGCGCCGAGACAGATCAATCACCCGTGTCTGTTTCCAGCCAAGACACATACGGACCGAAGAGGCACGCTAACACGAGGAAATACTAGAATTCATTTCCTCGTCTCCACACGAAGTTGTGTCAGTTAGGTGAAAACAAATCATACCTTTATAACCCAAACCTGTGCTATGAGTGACACAACAGGCTTCAGACCTGGACTTCAAATGGCTTTTCATCACCATGTAGAGACCTGACATGTGTTATAAGATGTTATCAAACAATAGGTGTCCTGTGCTGTTACACTGCAGTATAGTATTAAGTGTTCTCCAGGGCAAAGCTATGAGGAATGTGTGGAGAAGAGGGGTAAACAGAGTAAAGCCATACCTGATAGAATGTCGCTCCATCGGGAATATCACAGGGAGGCTTATTCAAGTCCAGAAGGATTACTGAAAACCCTTCATTTGCCAGTTGTCTCCCAAGCCTGAAACCAAAGTATCCCCCTCCTCCCGTCACTACCACTTTCCCCTTTGGGACACCTCGGTGCTTTTCCTCTCCCAGTCTGGAGGCCACACAGTCGGGGCTGCTGCAGGTAGCAGCGGTGGCGGTGTTTACTCTGTTTCTCACAGCCACAGAGGGGCCGGAGGCGACTGCTGGGGCTGGATGGATGACCCACGGCTGCTGAGCGAGGTGGGCGATGTTGTGCCCGTGGTGCCCGTTGGTCTGCAGGCGACAAATGGGGACGCTTTGGCAGGGAAACTGCTTCACCTGGCACAGAGAGCCTCCGCTTTCAGTCATGCTGGGACTGCACAGCTCCATGGATGCTCTGATGGGATTTTAAAGAGGAATAAAATACATATTCACTGTTTCAGAATCATTAAAAACTGACCGGTAATGAGTATTTATCTTAACTTTCTGAAAGTGTCCTGTCATTTATAATCCCTTTGTTTTCACATCATTCAAGTTCCGACAGCTGTACCACTTCAGAGTCTTTCATTATTTAAAATAGAGCTCAGTGCTCCTGAACACCACTTTTTTCTCTTTGTTGAGTTTTGATAAAGAAGATGTCAGAGATGACAACTGGTCAGACATTTCACTCATAAATAATAACGTTATGTTTTATAGACTGCATATAACATATTTAAGGGGGTGGGGAGGGAGGTATTCTGAAAGAAGAATTTCTGATACATATTTTTACTGTATGCGTGTATATGTATTTTTCATTTGCTTTTGGCCTGTAGTTAATAACCCCTTCATGTTTCGCCAAATTAGGCAGAATATCACGTGTTTTTCGCTAAAATAAACGAGCCTAATCTATGAATAAACGCAGGTCCGACAGCGATGACGTGCACTCTTTAATTAAATAAAAATACCTTCCTGATAGTCATCTCTATATGTCACATCTACTCACCCGATTGCTCCTGTCCTCCTCGCACATCCGTACCCGTGCTGGTGGATTCATGCAATAATACAGTCTATACCTCGCCGTCAGGCCCTCTCGATGCGTCACCTTTCTCACCTGTCACACACCTGCACTTTACATCTGCTACCGTAATGTCTGCAGGCAGTGCGCAGGCAGTGCGCAGGCCCGCGGCAGCGAGGATCACATTTCTAGAAGCACCGGATGGACGAGCAAGCACCTCATTTCAGTTTTTTATGTACGGAAGTTGTTGGGGGGGCTCTGCCCCCACTCTACTTTTAAATGAACCATAAGTAGGTCTTCAGTCAGAGAGAGATCAGATTAAATGTTACTGTTGAGCTGAAATTAGTCAGTCTTCTTGGCAAGTCCTCCAAAACAAAAACTAAAAATTTGTAGTTTCTAATGTGGCCCTTGGGAAAATTAATTCCTCCCTCATGATCTAAAAGCTCCAGGGTCACCTTCTGTCTTGTGGTAAATAGACTGGTTCTTTCTATCGTGCTTTTCTACTCTTTCTACAACATATTCCATTCACACATGCACTTTTTTATGCCTAAGTGCTTTCTGTCTAACAGTCACCCTCCATTGGGCACATGGAAGAGCAACTTGGGTTCCAGGATATTTGGCATGCAGATTTCAGCAGCCAAAGATTGAACTACTAAGCTTCCAATTAGCAGATGCCCTGTTCTACCTCCTGAGCTACAGCCACTTACCTGCACTTTGTCCATACAGCTCTGAGGGCTAACTGATAGTACAAGCAATAAGGATCAACAAATACTTAACCAAAAAAGTAACTGCTAACTGTGTTCTTGCTGCCTCCTTTACTTGCAAACACTCTGCAGGGCATCTGTGAGCAGCTCGAGTAAAGTAAAAGAAATAACATCTGATAGAGCACAAGATGAACCAGGCTGTCCTGTTTTGCCTTCTGTGACAATGGTGTGGACTAGTGATGTCAAGTTGCACATGCTTTTTAACTCAGTGCCACAGAAGGAAGTTTAATTTGTATCTTTTTACCCGCTTGACGTGACACATCCTACACAGTGTTTTCCCAAAAAAGAGACATTATAAAATAGAGCGATGGCACTCATAGAAAGTAAGCCAGAAAATTCTTTGGGTAATTTACATCAGATTTCACTACGCCCATCTTTTGATGCCTGCTTCCAGCAGGATAACATTTGGGATGTGATGGAACAGGAGATTCACAGCATGGATAAGTCTACAGCAACTGTGCGATGCTATCATGTCAACATGGATCAAAACCTTTGATGATGTTTCCAGCACCTTTTAATTTGTGCCATGCAGAATTAAGAGAGTAAGGAAGGCAGAAGTGATCCATCCTAGCAAGGTGTACCTAAGAAAGTGGCCAGGAAGTGTATTTTCTGGTGAGCGTTTGCTCATCCTGCCGTCATTGCAGCGGTAAGTCAGCAGTCTGCATAAATATCAAGGACAAAAAGAAAAGGGAAAGTCTTATCTCTTGATAAATGCAAGGAGTTGTTTCTAGTACACGATGAGTAGGGGCACCTGCTTTACATATCAGCAAATGACCTTTGCCAACAATTCTTTACTTGGAAGGTTAAACCATTATTTAGTATTGTATCCCCACAATCAGAAATTTCCTTAATTATAAAGACTAGGAGTCATAAAAGGCACTGTGAATTTACTTGTACATGTTTTAGACTCACTGGCTGGTAGTAAACTTATGGTTTTTCATAAGACAAGATTAAAGAGACTTGGAAGGATTTAGAACAAGGTACCAAATGAATGAATGAATAAATAAATAAATAAATAAATGAATGAATGAATGAATGAATGAATGAATGAATGAATGAATGAATAAATAAATAAATAAATAAATAAATAAATAAATGAATGAATGAATGAATGAATAAATAAATAAATAAATAAATAAAAGTAGTAAACGCCTATGTTTTTTTAAAGAAATTCCTCAAGCTGACATTTGGCAGCAATTTTATTATGAATGAATATTCATCAGTGGACGAATGTTCATTAGTTCCTCAGTTTCTGCTGCACAACAACGTCTGAACAAATACATTTTTGAGTGTTAGTGAATAAATGTGTTTTAAGTGTGTAAAATGACAGGTACAACTCACAAAAACCATAAAAATGTAATTACAGTGAGAGTAAAGCATTCAAACACTTTGAGTTTACCTATGTGAGTCAGATCGCTACGAGAAAATAACAGAAAAATATTTTCATTGAAAAAGGGAAAGAGAAAATGTGGGGTCAGGCATCGAATGACATCTCTAACTTGATCAGGTAAAACACTCACTCCTCGCCCTGGGCTTTTGGAGAGGACAGAAATAGAGGGCTCATTTCTTATTTAGCAGACATTGAATACACCTCACGTAATTAAAGAGGTGGGGAGGAGGAGTCTTAAGCAGCTGCCGAATGACTGAAGCTGTCTCATATCAGAGCCATTTGGAGACAAGCTGCAGTAAAAACATTGTGGTGCACTTACTTTGTCTTTTAAAGAAGAGTGCATTATGTGCTGATTTAATTCAGACCTCATTTTGTTCAACTGAAGTTTCGACTGTGCTTTTTGTATCTTTTTGTAGAAGCATGCACACATTTTCTAAAGTTAACTAATTTATTCATTTATTTAAGTCTCAAGCAGCTGCCGAGACGACCGGAGCTGTCTGGTGTCGGGGCAATTTGGAGACAAACTAAAAGGATTGTGGTGCTTTTTGTATGATTTTGTAGAAGCATGGACCCATTTTTAAAATTTACTTATTTATTCATTTATTTATTTATTTACATGCAAGTATAGATGCGTAACAAAAGCCATTAAAAAAACAGACCGCTGGACAGAGGCCATCCCTTTTGTTTGCCATCCAGGTAACAGTGAGTAATGTCGTGTCATCAGCAAACCAGACCTGGTAATGATTCTTTTTTAGCACATCCACAACGCATGTCATCCAACAACAGTTCAAATGAAGGCGACTGCTACCCCCAGGTGTAGGTGAGGTACCAGCTACAGCGGCCTGTGCCTGAGGGTAGCAGGTATCTACAGTTGTTAGTGGTTGAAGTGAGTGAAGGAGTTTGTTGTGGCTTTTAATATTTTTATTATACATATATCATCCATTAAAGACTAGTGAATGAGCTGCATATGGAAAAAAAACCTGCGTGATATAAAAGTTCTGTTTTCGAAACCTTGACCTCAGCATTGTGACGCTCAGGAACAATCTGATGAGGACTTCCAGATATTTTATCCCTAATGGTGTCGCGCCTGTCGCTCTGAGCCAAAGGGGTGAATAAAGGTGGGGAGCATTGCACACGGTCATTCACTTCTTACCTGCTCTTCGTGAACCAAAGAAGTCCAGTTGCAGTTACATAAATCTTTGATTTATTGTCTGTGTCGGTGTGCATTTGCTCAGAATTACTTTTTTTTTTAAACAAAAGAAAATTTAACCAGTACCATAAAGCGAGCCATACAACACGAACACGTCTTTCCCCAGCTGCTCATTTGCTATTTCAGCACTCTCTGTGATATAAAAAGGCTTGAGTTACTCTCATTAAAGTCTGTCCAGCACAGCCATGAATCACAGTCGGCAGGGAGCCTTCACCTTGTCTGACCTGCTGCCGCAGTGAGGGGAAGGAGCGCCGTGGTACAGACAGACCTCTCATGTCTGCAACCTTGCCGAGCTCTCCGCTGAGGTGAAGTTCACGGCGAGGACTGGAAATAGGATGAGGAGCTCATTAAAGTTCCAGTGCAGCGAGCAGAGGGACAGCAGTAGGATGTAAAGTAGAAGGAGATCTGTCAAATCTGCAAGTGACAGTGTAATTCAAATGTAAATCAACTGTAATCTTAAGATTTAAGAGTTCAAAACGTCATAATAAAGCTTGTCCACAGTGGACTGTTAAAGGTGCGTTTGAGAAAGTGTGTATGCATGGACAAAAGGTTCGTCTGTGTTTGTGTGTGTGTGTGTGTGTGTGTGTGCATAACGATTAGACAAATTCCCTCTTGGACAGCTACTAATAAAAATATTTTTCTGGTATATATATAACTCCACTTTAACTTTGATGACATCAAAACAGGCAAACAGTAAAAGACAAACGAGTGGCATGCCAGTTATGTCATCAGTCATGAGGTGAAATCATGGCTGGTGAAGCTGGGATGTTTGTAGATTGGACACTTTGTAAGAAGTGAACAAGACACCTTCATGAATATGTAATAAAGCTAAAGGCTAGCCAGCATAAATTAGATTAGAAACTGAGCAAAGACAACCAGCAGCGTGCCAATCTCTGCTTTTTCTCACACAACAACACACTGGAGAGTGTGTGAATGTGATTCTTTACAGATGTGACTGGATGTTTGTCCATTTATAAAGGAGGCTGCTGGTTAAACTCCGGATTCAACATG